TTCCCACCTGAAGATGCATGAATAGATCCAGAGAGCCAGCAGCAGAGAGCCAGCAGCATGACACCAGTAGTCTTTTTAGCTATCTGTAATGGTGGTTTTTGACCACAACTGTGACCACAACTCAGCGTAAGGGGGACAATCTACCAGCCCCATTTCTTTTTACTGACAAAACATGGAAAATTTACTTGCAGCACATTTTTTACGGACAACTTGAAATATGACAGAAACTCCTATTGTAAATTAAGACAATTAATATTTAAAGGCTAAATTCGACTTAAAGGAAAATATAATAAATGCACATATTTTGTAGGAGAAAAATAAGCAATTATTATTTTTTCCCACAGAAGCCTGCAAAGCATTGCATCCATGTTAAGTGGATCAATGGATCAGTGGATTGTCGGTGCAATGTCAGGTTCCTTTAAACACTTCCTCCAGATTGTGAATCTAGGCAATCAGCACAGTATGTATCAAAAACAAAAAAATACAAACAAAAATCTATAATGCCACTAAACATCAATGGTGCTCTTCATCACACCATACACCTTTAGATATATAGAAAAATGATGTAGCCAGAAGTGGCTCTTTGATTAAGCAAACAAGGCGGTCACCTAAATCCCCACACTCACAGGGGCCTCGAGGTTATCTAATTTGTCTAATTGAGGGAGGGGACAGCCCACCATTGGGAAGAAGGATGGTGCTTCCTGTGGATGTGCATTACCGAACTGAATGTGCCAGAATTTTGCACTGTTTGCTAACACCAGCTGGACTGCCTCCCCCTCCCATCTCAATCATGGGCTGCATGGAGGGAGAACCAGGGTAAGCCACTGCCCTGTCATCTGCATATCCCAAATATAGGCGTGCCAGAGTGCTGGCAGGTGAAAGTGGCCAGCGAAGGGAAAGCCATCTCAATGGTTGGTCTGGAGACCAATCAGCTGCAGGCTGCCGAGTTGACTGGAAAGTGAATCCCCACCCCCCACGTGTTGTGGTTTCACCCTGACAGTCAGGGTGCCAGTAGTGACAGCTGTTTGATGAGTTCAGGGATTGGGGTGAGTCTGATGCCAGAGAGGATCTGTTTTTTTTATGCACACTGACACATGACTGCTCTGTCCATCACCCAGCCCATACAGTGCCTTGAAAAAGTATTCATACCCCTTGAAATTTATCACATTTTGTCATGTTATAACCAAAACCATAAATGTATTTTATTGGGATTTTTATTCGATAGACCAACACAAAGTGGTACGTGATGATCACGGCGTCAGACCCCAGCCCTTCTCACCAAACTCGTGACCGAAGGACTAGCCAATCTAAAACCGCGCTGTCACATGCGTAACAATGCCACGCCGAGCTGCACTCTGCACAACAATTTTACAGCTAATGGACCACAATTGATGTACCTGCAGCCTGAGCGCGATTGTTACTGGGTCAGGTTAATTACGCAATTAACCCTTCACACTGCCACCAACTCCTTTTTGTACAGAGAAAGAGGAAACTCAGCAATATCAGCAATAACACTATGATGTTTGAATAATCGTCGGTACACCACAGTCACCGCAGGCAGCGATATACCAAAGTTTAAAAAACACACACAGTTAGCACTCTTCAGAGGCAGGGGGTTCTGAGTTTGCATTAAAGAGCTTTAGAAACAGTGCAACACTTTCAGAAAGTAAGATTTTTATTACTAAAAGGTAAAAAGGGTGCAATAAAAATATTTACAGAAAAAGATGTAACCAATATATATATATAAATATACAGAAAGCAATAGCACAGCAAAGAGATAACAGAAAGGAATTTAGATAAAGTACTTGCCAAAAGCCTTGGGTTAAGCAGCCTTCAAGTTTTCTGAGCAAAAGGGCGTTTTCTCCCAAAGTTGGTTCCGATGTTAAAAAGAGAGAATTCTTCAACTCAACTTAACTCAGCTTTTTCTAGCAACTCCACAGGGTGTCTCCCTGAAACAGAGAATTAATCGCCTCATTTGGGGAGGGAGTTGTAGGTGGAGACCTCAGGCTATGACCAAAGCCTGCTCAAATTATATTATGGTTCATAACTTACCCTGGACACATATAACATTCTATCCACGAGTAGATTAATACGCAGAATCTTCTGCTGAACGGTTAGATATGAAATATGAAATATCCGCTTGAATGGTTATGGAGATTTACTTTTCTGCTCTCCTGTATATGCCAGATAGGGGATGTGATATACCAGCAGACTTGTCTTAAGGTCAGCTTTCCGAATATGGGCTCCACGTTTGTGTAATTATTTCCTATTTGAAGACATAAACTTATATGGAAAAGTGAGTTTTAAATGTAAGCTGTGGATCTCTGCAGTTCCTCCTGAGTTACCATGGGCCTCGAGGCTGTCAGTACATAAGTATTGAGAGGGCTGGGGGCACTGCTGCACACAGAAGGTTTTCTACCTTCATGCATATGTAGAGATGCGCTGGTTGCTTTAAATCTTAAACAGCAGTTGCAAAGCATTTTTTTTTCTTTTCCCTCTTTGTGAGTGACAGACAGGGAAAGCAGGACTGTGCTCTAATTGGTTGTTGCTACAGCTGAGAAGGATCCACCCATAACAGCACTGTTGCAGCTGAACTTATGATTGGCTGTGGAGGAAAGGAGAGAGGCAAAACGAAGAAGAAGCACATATGGGGAAGGAGAAATTTTCAGGGGACCGCATAGAGCAAGGGTTCCTGGTGTGAAGTAACAGAGTCTCACTCTCTGTGCTGCTAGAGCCCATGGGCTGGGAGTGTGTAGCAGAGGAATTGTTGCTGGAAGACAGTGTGCAAATCAAGGATTGTCCTGCCTGACACTCAGGATTACAGCCACTCAAGTGCACGTGTCTCTCAAAGTTTGGAGCTGCTGAAAGAGAGAGGATTTCTACTACTGTCTAATGCTATCTAGAGGACAATCCAGAAACAGTGAGTACTCTGTGATGAAAGGGGATTTTGATATTGCTGCATTTGCTGTTCATCTCTGGAGAATGGTCATGAGAAATCCTGCTCTCTAATTGTCAGAGTGACACAGATCTTGGAAAGCCCAAGCTGCTCAGAATTAGCTATTCCTGCTGCTGATTGATGAGAGAACTCTGGTCTGTATATTACTGGTTTGTCTCCTCAAGATTTGTGCTGTGGCTGAAGAGTGTGTTTAGTTCCAAATCCCCACAGAAGCTTGCTGCTCTGAATATACTGAGCAAGTGTCAGTATATCAGGATTTCACCTGTATGGTAAAGATTTTGTTGAAGTGTTGTTTTTTTCCTATTGCAATGTTCAGTGGAAGATTCTGCTTAAAAGGAGACTGTGCTATCCTGCTTCCCCTGGATTACAAATACTCTCCCATGCAGAAAGTGAGCGCTCTTCCATTGATTAACCACTTGCCTACCAGGCACTTATACCCCCTTATTTACCAGGCCAATTTTCAGCTTTCAGCGCTGCCACACTTTGATTGACAATTGCGCAGTCATGCAACATTGTAAACCAAAACCAATGCTGCGCTACATTCAAACTAATTTATGTGAATGTGGAATCCAACATCTCAAATCAAAATTGTGACAATAATAATGACTATATAAATCTATACGTGCTTACTGATAATCAAAATATCAAATAAATCACCCAAAAAGATGAAAGACACAAAACTGAATTAAATCACACGTGCATATTGTGAAGTGAAAAAATATAAATAACCATAATAATGGTACACACAAAAAACAAAAGTCCAAAAATAGAATGTTGTAGGTGAACAAAACAGTAAACGGTGTTTCCAAATGATACTGTAAGTGACCACAGGTGAAACAAATCGCGCCTGCGGCCATTACACTGAAGACCACTGTTCAGCTGTACACCCAACAGATATATCCTCATCTGAAAGCATGAGGTTCTAATGTGGACTGGCTGCTACGTAAGTTCGTTTTTATAAGAGATTATATTTCCTATGGTATAATAAATATACTACTTCCTGGAGAAGAGCCTGAGTGGGAATATTAAATCCTGAAAAGCGGTTTTGGAGTGCTTTGGTGCCTGGAGGATCTGTGAGAGGGATCCATTACTGCTCTTTGACCCGCAAGGGTCGAAGGGATGAGGTGAGAGGCTAATCCAGAAGGTGGTTGGATTCATAAGATCTATATACACCCAGATACCTGCACGATTTGTGATTTGTTTCACCTGTGGTCACTTACAGTATCATTTGGAAACACCGTTTTACTGTTTTGTTCACCTACAACATTCTATTTTTGGACTTTTGTTTTTTTGTGTGTACCATTATTATGGTTATTTATATTTTTTCACTTCACAATATGCACGTGTGATTTAATTCAGTTTTGTGTCTTTCATCTTTTTGGGTGATTTATTTGATATATTTTGATTATCAGTAAGCACGTATAGATTTATATAGTCATTATTATTGTCACAAATTTGATTTGAGATGTTGGATTCCACATTCACATAAATTAGTTTGAATGTAGCGCAGCATTGGTTTTGGTTTATATTCACTTGATCACTGGTATATGATTTAATGCTAGCAGCTTCTTTGGGGTTTATACATTTATTTATTTTGGTTTAATTATTTTTAAACACACATTTGGAGCGCAGGAGGGTCACACCACCCATGCAACATTGTACCCATATGAAATTTTGATCATTTTTTTCTCACAAATAGAGCTTTCTTTTGGTGGTATTTAATCGCCACTGGGCGCTTTACTTTTTGCGCTATAAATAAAAAATTGCCAAAAATTTGAAAAAAAAAAAAAAAGGTTTCTTTGTTTCTATTATAAAATTTTTCAAACAGGTAATTTTTCTCCTTCACTGATGTGCATTGATGAGGCAGCACTGATGGGCACTGATAGGCGGCACTGATGGGCACTGATAGGCAGCACTAAAGGGCACTGATAGGCAGTACTAATGAGGTGGCACGGATAGCCGGCACTGATAGACAGCACTAATGAGGTGTCACGGATAGGCGGCACTAATATGCAGCACTGATAGGTGACACTAATGATGGGTACTGATAGACGGCACTGACTGGCATCACTGCTGGGCACTGACTGGCGGCACTGACTGGCACAACCGCTGGGCACTGACTGGTGGCACTGACTGGCAGCACTGCTGGGCTGCACTGGTGGGTGGCACTGGTGGGCAGCACTGGTGGGTGGGCACAGGTGGGTGGCACTGGTGGGCACAGGTGGGTGGGCACAGGTGGGTGCACTGCTGGGCACAGGTGGGCGGGCTAGCTAGTGGGCGCACTGCAGGGCACAGGTGGGCGGAACTTGCGGGTGGCACTGCTGGGCACCGATCATCAGGGCACTGATCGTCAGTGCCCTGATGATCGGTGCCGATCCCCGCTCTGACAACTGCCGGTTCTCGGCAGTACTTTCCTCACGATCTGACAGCGTGAGGAAAGTGCAGCCGAGAACCGGCACTTGCATTTCCCTCTGATCAGCGTGTCATTGGACACCGCTGATCAGGTGGTAAAAGGCCGCTGTGATTGGCCTTTTACCACATCACGTGATCAGCTGTGTCCGTAGGACACAGCGATCACGGAGATCGCCGGGTGCGCGCCCCCTGGGGCGCGCAGGAGAGCGCGTTCTGGGGGGACGTCATATGACGTCCACTCAGAACTGGACGGCCGCAGTGCAGCCGTCATTCGGCTATCTACGGTCGGCAACAAGTTAAAGGGCCCCAACATTGAGTGACTTTAAGTTTCATCCCACTGGCCAGTGGTTAGGTAGGGCATTTCTGCTCTAGTACTGCTATAACAAATGTCAATAAGCTGCTAAACCTCATTAACAGTTATTGTTTCATGTGTCAATGTCACTCTCATATGTCACCCTAGTCAGTGTGATACTAGTCAGTTTTTGGAGTCTTTGGCGAGTGAATTGTGACTTCTTACTAACTGTGTTATGCAAAGTGGTATCTGTGTTTTATGTACATTACCTGTGTTAAATCAGCTAGTTCTTTTTCAGTGTTTGTCTTCTTCAATAAAACCCATAAAAAAATATTCTCAGAGTGTTGGAGTGTTATGGGTATAATCGGAGGTGTCACCAGATTCAGGTGGGAGCTGAACCTATATATCTAGCCAAGCATCACCTAAGGGTGTGCTACACATAGAATGCATGAAGGTAAAAAACCTTTAGCCTTTAAGACCACTTTAAATTCTTGTATAATTTTCCTTAATCTTTCAATCCTTCTTTAGTTATCACTCCATTCACCTGGTGCAATATGTATGCTCACCTTTATAATTGAACTCCAATATAAATGAAGGTCACACTGACAGAATTCCGCATAACTCAGGGGATATCTCAAGCATTCCACTTCCTTCTTCTCCTCCTCCTCCTGTCGCAGCTTCCCACTCACAAAAAAAGGTACATGCAAACGATAATACAAAATATAGTGCTCTATGTACAGAAGTGACACACTTAAAATTATCCAAAAGATGCACTCTACATTACTATATTGTATGCATGCAAACAAATCTATGTGTATCCAGAGTAAGAAATAATATACACACTGGAATCCTCTGTGCAAGGTGACTCCTCGCCTCCTGATAAGGACCCCAATATACAGTTGTGTTCAAAAGAATAGCAGTGTGTTGAAAAAAGTGAATAAAGCTCAAAATCCTTCTAATAGCTTTTATTTCCACACAGATGCATTGGGAACACTAAACATTCTACTCCAAATCAAAACATGAAGAAGAAAAATATATCAAATTTGTGTTGTTCCTCTAAAAACATTGAAGAAAAGTGAATGTTAGACTGTTCAAAAAAATAGCAGTGTTTGTATTCTTCTTTACAAACTCAAACATTCACTATATAAACTGAAAAATGTTTGAAGATTTTGCTTTCCTTTGAATCACTTAATGAATATTTAGTTGTATAAGCACTGTTTCTGAGAACTGCTGTACATCTGTGTTGCATGGAGCCAACCAACTTCTGGCACCTGTGAACAGGTATTCCAGCCCAGGATGATTGGACTACATTCCACAGTTCTTCTCTATTTCTTGGTTTTGCCTCAGAAACTACATTTTTGATGTCACCCCACAAGTTTTCTATTGGATTAAACCCGGGGATTGGGCTGGCCACTCCATAACGTCAATCTTGTTGGTCTGGAACCAAGATGTTGCACGTTTACTGGTGTGTTTGGGGTCGTTGTCTTGTTGGAACACCCTTTCACGGGCATTTCCTCTTCAGCATAAGGCAGCATGACCTCTTCAAGTATTCTGATGTATTCAAACTGATCCATGATCCCTGGTATGCGATAAATAGGCCCAACACCGTAGTATGAGAAACATCCCCATATCATGATGCTTGCGCAACCATGCTTCACTGTCTTCACAGTGTACTGTGGCTTGAATTCAGTGTTTGGGGGTCGTCTGACAAACTGTCTCCGGCCACTAGACCCAAAAAGAACAATCTTACTTTCATCAGTCCACAAAATGTTGCGCCATTTCTCTTTAGGCCAGTCAATGTGCTCTTTGGCAAATTGTAACCTCTTCAGCACGTCTTTTTTTCAACAGTGGGACTTTGTGGGGGCTTCTTGCAGATAGCTTGGCTTCACATAGGTGTCTTCTAATTGTAACAGTACTCACAGGTAACTTTAGACCTTCTTTGATCTTCCTGGAGCTGATTGTTGGCTGAGTCCTTGCCATTTTGGCTATTCTTCTATCTTCGAATGGTAGTTTTTTCGCTTTCTTCCACTTCTTTCAGGTTTTGGTTGATATTTTAAAGCATTTGCAATCATTTTTATGCACTTCTTTATATGTTTGCCCTTCTCCAATCAACTTTTTAATCAAGGTACGCTGTTCTTCTGAACAATGTCTGGAACGACCCATTTTCCTCAGAATTTCATAGAGAAATGCACTGTAACCAGCATGTACAACATTTGCTGCCTTCCTTCCTTAAATAAGGGCAATAAATGCCACCTGTTTTTCAAAGAATGAATGACCTCACTAATAGAACTCCACACTGCTATTATTTTGAACATGCCCCTTTCAATTAGTGATTCAATCACACAGAATCAGCAGCATGCATGTCATGACTGTTGGGTCTGTTGGATTTCTATTACTCAACTACACCTGCTAGTAAATTATTTGCCATGTAGAAATATCATTTCTACAAAAAACAGTGATTGATCAGGTTAGTGATGTCTGACTGCTATTATTTTGAACACAACTGTATATATATCAAGGTCATAAGAGCTTGTAAAACTCCTCCAACGTGATATTTCCTCCACTCCCCTTCAATATTCTCCCGCCGCAAGGCAATCACAAATCGGATCACATGCAAATACAGAAATGGGACCCATCAACTCTTTATTAAAAACATCAAAATACCACTCACATTAAAAAAGCCCCCACGGTGCTATGATATGCGCAATACAGACACCTTATTCACAAAGGATTCACAGCTCATGTTAGACAACCAGGTCCATGTACATCTTACGCACAATTGCAGTGTGGCTCCGCCCACTGGGCTTCTTCAGTAGGTTCGGGGCAATGTTGCCACACTGCAAATATATATATTTCTTACTAATGAGTCTTTTGGTAACTCCCACTACAGCAACAATCGAGAAACAGGAAGTGACGCAATCATGACCGAAACTGATGTATAGTCATTTAGACGTATAGTCACGCTGCATTTCTGCTTTAGAGCAATGGGGTCTTCTTTTGAACCCCACTCAAAACAGTACTTGCAATGAGTTTCCATGTTCTCCCTGTGATTTCATGATTTTCCTTCCACACTCAAAGAAATGGTTCCAGGTTAAATGGCTCCAGGATAGACTAGCTCTAGTATATGTTTGAGGTAGGGATCTTAAGCCGGTCATAGATGGTTCAAATCTTGGCCGGTTCAGCAGGAACCAGCCATGATACAAACCATGGATATAAAGAAAACAAACAGGGTGCACCGGCCTAGTGCATTACCGTAAAAAAATATTTATTGAAATAATAAAAATAGGTATTGTACTCACAAATGACATGAATGTCAAAGGCACATCATACAGAGCAGCACTGTCCAATCCACACTACATGTCCATCTGCACTGGGAACCCTTGACTTCCTCTTTCTCACAGGAAAACGCGTTAGCCTGTTGGAAGACCAGGGTTCCCATTGCGGATGGACATATAGTATGGATTGGACAGTGCTGTTCTTTATGATGTGCCTTGGACCGGAGCGCAGTTTGTTTTTTTTTTATATCCAGTAATTTGGACTACTCCGGTCCGTTGAGGGCAGAAAGGAGTGCACATTCCAGGACATCCGAGATGTAGCCCAAGCTGAGTCCATCCCCAAGTGCTGGAGTATTTGGATTTGCTGTTTTTCAATGATACGAACCATGTATGGGCAGGCTGAATGTGCTCAAGTTGATTGATCAATGGATCAACTTGGGTACAACCAGACTATTGAATTTTACATGCAATTATTGCTAGCAGCTGTAATAGCCACCAGCAAAAATCACTGTGTTCTCCTGTAGGGGAAAGGCTTCCCCCGCTAGGGTAACACAATAGCTCCACGGGAGGTATTCCCCTGTCAACACTGCCTGTGTTGATGGGGGAATCAAGTGAAATTTGCTCTGTCTATGGCCAGCCTTAGATTGTAAGCTCCATGAGAGCAGGGACTGATGTGAATGTGCAATGTGTAGAATGCTGCATTGCCTGTAATAAATAAATAGCTATACCATGAAAACATAAAGTGTGGTATGATATGGTTATGGACATCTTGGGCTACATTTGCATGGGTCAGGATAGTTTGTTCTAGTGTGTTCAGAGGCAGCTAAACTTCACTTCTGGATGCAGCAACAGTCTGTACTACTGGCAGATTAGCTGTGGCCAGAATTCTGCAAGAGCACCAAGCCCAACCCTGGGGACACACTGGCTGAATTTTGTCAGTCGGAGGCTCTATTTACATCTAACTGCTCAGATGAGTGGTTACCTGGGAACAGCAGTGGTACTGGCTATTGATTTGAATGTTGTACAAGTCTGACAGCTGCTGTTTTTTATACACAGTGTGTGCAGGCAGCATTTAGAGCTGCTGGCGAGAATCTACAGATTCTTGCCACTGGACACACCAGTGTGGATGTTTGAATGTATACTTATGTACAGTATATAGGTGTCATTAGTTATGCTTTGTAATAAAATGCCACTATATATTGTTCCCCTATCAGACTATTGACATTTTCAAGGTATAGAATTTATGTAGAAACATTCTTATATGTAAAAGTGTGATACTTCATTAGGTCACTTCTAACTTACTTGTCAGAAGGTACATACCTCAGACAATAGGTCGCTTTTAAATTCCTCTCTGGTGAAGTAAACAGTATGCTTTGTTGCCTCACATAAATTAAATCATTAAATTGTCAAGAAATGTCAATAAAACAGCCAAGCTTTTTTATGTGCACACACCTAGGGTGGAGCGCTCCTCATTTCTGGTCATT